AGGACGCTTTATGATCGAAGCTCTTGGTATGTCTCTGTAAGAGAGAGCCAGAGGCTCCTGATACCTTAAGGGGAAAATGCAGCAGGCCAGCCTTGAGGTATAGGTAGGCAGACAGCTAAGTAGGAGCTAGCTGCTCCACCACAAGCTGGCTGCGTGGGGCAGGTTCCAGGCAGCTTGAGAGTAAAGACCACAAGCAGTTGGGTTAAGCTGCAGCCAGGAGTAGGATGACCATTAAGCCCAAAGTGAAAGCCCTGTGCCTGGTTGGGGAGTCAAGGGCAGTACTCCAGAACATAAAAGCCAGGCACCAGAAGTAAGGGGGGCAGTTTGGCTCTGCATCCTACGGAGAGAAGATCTCCTGTGGGAGGAGGGCTGCATAAGGCAGCCTGGCAAGCACCCCATCCACCCACGAGAGCAAGGAGGTGAGAGCCCAAAGGGAGATGCAGATTGCAGGATGCTGTAAACCCAGAGTGAGGGAGATTTCTTTGTTAGGACTAGTTGCTTGTATTTTGTTGTGTTTAAGTTGAAACTGGAGGACTGGGTTGTGGCTCAGGGGGAGGCAGGAAGATGACAAGGGTGCCCAAAAAGCAGCCTGAACAGAGCCCTATAGGGGTCATGGACCATAAGGGGTCTGAGAGGCACCAGAGCCACCTGGCCTGGGTTGGGCATCCAGGAGGCCGAGGGGTGTATAAGCTGCCTTTCCCAAGTCGGTGACCCCAGAGGGTGGAGAAGAAGAAGGGCCTGGGACCCCAAGGGGGTCCCGAGCCTGGGAAGGGTGAAGCCAGGGTCAGGGGGCCCAGATCTCAAGAAGGGTGAGAGACAGGGGCCCAGCGACTGATATATGGAGAGGGCTAAGGCTAAGAGCCAGTCTGGAACAAGGCCGTGGCTGGAGGCTGGCAGCCGGAATAATAGTGGGCTAAAGCCACGAGGGCAGGCACTCCTACAGGTCCAGGACATTGTCCGAATAACATCTGCAAGGCATGGGTGTGGCTGTAGGGGTGGAAGGAGGCCACAAATAGCCCTTAACAGCCCACTGGCACCCCTGGAGCCTGGTCCTGTTACAGTCTCCTACTTCTGGCCCCGACTCTGGGTGTACCGGAGTCTGTTACTGTTCTGCAGTTGTCTTCAGTTTTGTCTCTACCGCTCTCCTGAGTCTGTAAGTACCTTGTATGATCAGTGTCTCCTCACTGCATTTTTGACCATTGACCTTTGCCATAGCTTGATCCTGGCATTTGCTGCTTGGACTTGAACATGTTTGCCTGTGGATAGGTCCTTGGCTTAAAACAGGCAGTCTGGCTTGGTGTTCTTTTAACTGCATCCTGCCTGTCATTGCTGCAGCAATCTACCCATCATGGGAAGCATGAGACTTAGTTTTCCAGTCCACATGGCTATGCTGAACTCCAGTCCAATATTCTGCTCCGAGTAATCTCCTTAGAAATTGTAGCTTATCATCATGGACCTGTCCCTTCCTTGGCATCTCCTTCACTTGCAACATCATCAGCAATGATCTCGATGTTTGGAAATCCCTGTAGAGCCTGGTGTACTTTCTTTTGCAAGAGATGCTCGATCTGTTCTTTGAATCTGCTTAAGTCATATGGAAAATAGTGTTAAGCAGAAATGTATGTTTTACATACAGAGTTAAACATAAGCCATTCTTTTATCTGGTATTTAGTTTAGTCTGTACCTACTTCTTTTCCAGACCTGAGGAAGTGCCCAAAAGTTTGTTTAACATCTCTCTTGACTATACAGTTCATCCTGATAAAAGCAATCATCACAAAATCCTTTTCAACTCTCATATTTCCTGGGCCATCCGAGTTGCAATAACACTCCAGTCTCACTTCATTCTTGTCCATTTTTCTAAAAATGAGATTAAAGCTTTATTTTCATTTTTCTTGTTTTTTTTCTACGTGGACCAGGTCTTCATTTGGATCAAATCTTGCTTCTATTGCTTCCACAGTTGTTCAAAACTTTTGTTTGGAAATCCAGCCTTCGCAGTGAGCCTCTCAGCACTCAGATGCCTGTTTGCAGACACGTGCTGCTTTGTTTGCTATGAATAACAGTCTCTTCCTTGATGTGGGATTCAATAGGTTGAGCACAGCCACCATGTTTCATGTACTATGTGCTGGTAATAGCTATGGCTGATTGGAATTGTCTGGAAACTTTTTTTTTTTTAAATTTAAAACAGATTTGCCAAAACTGAAACTATTCGTGGCCCCAGTGAATCTGACAAGGGGGAGAGGAAATTTTTAAAAACATTAACATGACCTGTTTCATAATTTTCTAATTTAAAAATAGGATTTTTAGAGAGTTTAGTTTATCCTAAAATGTTAAAATAGGAAAAAAGAAAATGAAAACAAAAGGGGATCAAGCCTAGTATCAGCCACGCTTTCTACAGAACTCGGCATCCACGTTCGGTCAGATTTCACCAACCTGGGAAAGCAACGAAGCATTTCTGTTGTCCCTCAAATCCTGCTACGATGACAGAAAACATCAAGAACACGAGTAAGCAAATTTATTCACAGCATGGAAAGTACTTGTAGTAATACACAGCTGACTACACGTCCTCTCACTTGGTCACTGGGACTAGCAACTCATGGTAATAATACTTAAGAGGAATAGATCAAAAACAAAGCATAAAGGATAGATTATTAAGGGCCAAGCTGAGCTGCCCAAGGCAGGTGTGTGAAAGCAAAAACAAAATGTAAGGAGCCCTCTCCTCTTGCATCTTGTCAAAGGTTGGCCCCAGTAGCAGCCCTGTTTTCCCCAGTATGCAAAGGACTGGGGAATCTAGCAAGCAGCCACAGCAGCTCCCAGCTCGGCATGGAGGCTAGGCAGGAAGGGGAAGCGAATCTCATGCTGCCAGTGCCCACTATAACAGAGTGTAGCTGTAGCCACTGCTCTTTGCTCCCCAAGCATTCACATGCAGCCCTATGTTACTTCCTTAGTTTAAAGAGCAGTAGGAAATCCTTGCTTGTCTACCCTAGGCAGACGATGATTCCCTCCCTGCTACCAAATAACTAATCAAAGAAAGAGTCTTTCAAGTATCTGTCTAGTTCATTACAGTTGCGCTAGGAAGGCGGCTGAAAGCAGCCCCCTTTGTATGGTACCTCAGAAGTGAAAGGAATAGACAGTTTCCTTTTGGACGCACACATTTACATTCTTTTCAGAGTGGGTGGAAGGCATACATGTGTCAGGGATTTATTAATATCAATACGATCGTTATTTTATTCTGCCACAGTAATATAAATAAGCAGCTTCAAAGTTCATCCTGCACGTATCTGGGAAAATGACACTGCCATTTGTCTTTGATGGGAACTTCAAGGCAAATAATAAATGAGCAGGTAAAACTTTCCACAGAAAGTTATACTGTCAAAGCCATCTACCTGACATCTTCAGTTCCTGGCAATGATACGCTGATAACATAGGCAATCGGATCATTACCTGCAAGGAAAGTTTTTTTAGGTCCACAAAGCTATCCACAGAATCCCAAGAGCATCTCTTTAAAAAAACAAAAAATAAGGCAATACAAACCGGTCAATAATGTAAGCTAGTTCCTAAACCAATACAAAAATTTACACATGGCATAAGAAGAAACTGGAGAGAATGTAACTGTAAGTGTGCTGTTATTTTATTCCATGTAAACTGTAATGTCTAGTGTTTCTGAGAGGGAAATTGAATGACTGCTTAATGTGGACAGAGAAGAATGATGAGCAGGCATTCAGGTTTTCCATTTCCCACGAAAAAAGGGGGGAAAATATGGACTTCCCCTTTTTAACAGAGAAAAAAGCAGATTTTTCATTTTAACAGAGATACATGCAGATTTTCCACTTTTACAAAGAGTTGTCTGTCTGCAGGCTGGCAGAGTTCCAGCCTGCAAGAGCTTCTTGCAAAAAGGGCTGCAACCCCTAAGCCTTGTCCCAAGGGGGAAGGGGCAAGGCCTAATACTCTCGAGTCAGCCAAGGTTTGGCTCAAGCTTACTTTCCCTCCTCACTTTCCTGCAAGGAGGAGACAATGGCTATGGCACAGCACTGCAGCTCTGGGGATACTGCAGCATGCCAAAAGCCAAGGTGGGTGCTAAGATACTTCTGACATCCACATGCCATGGGGCTAGGCTGGTTGGCTCCATGCCTCCACATGGGAAGCTGCATGTGGAAGCAAGCAAGAGCCTACCCAGCCCGATGGTGCACGACTCCATGCCTCCATGTACAGCTTCCCATTGGAGTGCTGGAAGCCCCACGTGGAGGCATGGAGCCTGCCTGGCCTGATGGCATACAGCTCCCAATCCATGTGCCATTGGGCCAGGCCAGCCCTCCATGTGGGGTTTCGAGCACTCCAGCAGAAAGCCGCACATGAAGGCACAGATCCCACCCAGCCTAATGCCACATGACTCCCGTCTGCAGTGCTATGCTCCACACATGCTGGCACGGAGCTAGCCTGGTCTCATTTCAAGGTGCATGCCATGAGCTGGCCTGGGATGCATGTGCCACCAGGGGCTCTGCCTGCTGCAGCCATGAGTGCCCCAAGGGCTTGCTGCCTGCTGCCGCTGACTTACTGGTATTGGGGGCTGTGCACCAGAAACCCCGCACACACACCCATACCCCTTCACAACCCCCCTGCCCCCACAAACCCCACACAAACCCATAACCACACTTGGGAGTGAGGGGCAACAGCATATTGGGGTGCTCAGCACCACAAAGCAATGGTGGGGAGGGACAACTGCAGTTGGACCTGTGCCCTGGTAAATGAGGGGGCAGCAGGAGCTCTGATTTTTCCATGATGAAAAACCCAAAATCAAATGCCAAAATATATAGGTATTTAGAGTTTATCTTATTATAGTGATTGAGGCACTGGTAGGCTTCCAAATGGCTTTAAAACTGGAAATTTATCAATAAAATATTATGTTCAACTGATACCTATATGCATAGTGGTCTTTGATTTTAATTATTTTGGGTTTTTCATCAGAGAAATTGTGGTTTTTATGAGAGAATTTGTAATTTTTTTAGACAGAGAAAACGAGGATCCCTGATTATGAGGCCTAAGTGAGGGACAACAGTTAACATGGACTTCAGTGGGATCCGGATTTCACCCAGAATGGTTAAGGTAAGATTTGAAATCATGAGTCAAAGATAAAGGAAAGCTGTTTCAGATGTCAAGAACTATAGAGCCAGAAGAGTTATTTTGATTTGGCAGAGAGTTAAAAGAAGATGCTGATACAAGAGAGTGAAGGGGCATATAAGGATCCTGCAGACAAGAAAAAGTTTCAAAGGAAAATGGGCTGCAGCACCTCGTCCACACTGGAGCCTGAAGGACTTGGAAACATTGGCAATGCGTAGGGGGTTCATGTGGGTAAACGTGCACCCCCTGGAAGTGCCAGCCACGAAACTGGAAGTGCACTTCCAGTTTCGCCACTGACTCAGCGATCGGCCGCTAGGGGACCTCCCGCCCCCTGTCAGTGATCTGGTGCCCCCCCAAACGCAGGAGGCACCAGTCACCCATGCTTGGAAAGGTCAAAAAAGAAGATAGTTGTGGCTCTGTAACATCATGGAAGCCTGTAGGAGAGTGCCGCATGCCTTTAAAAGAAAATAGCAGTTATAGAAAAGGTCATTAGACAAACTAGAATAAAATCCACATTTCGATGAAGCAAACCAAACATACCAAGAGGCCGATGACATGAAGTCCTATCCAAGAGTACAGAGCACCATGGCCAGCTAATCCACAAAGCATGAGAAATTCCTGTGGATGAGCTGACCCAGACCCATGCCAGGAAAAATCTCCAGTTCAGGAACTGCTGAAAACAGCCATGAAACAGCCTTCCAAGGACACGCTAGAAAATGCTGTTGGTTTAGGGCAAAGGTTCCCAAACTTTTTCTTATTGTATACTCCCTTCCAGGTTTATCAGCTGCCCACGTACCCCTACCAGCATACTTTAACCTCTTAAATGCCAATTATTATTATAATGAAAAATAAATCTGTCATTTATACAATTTCTCCTGTGTACCCCAAGAGATGTCTTGCATGCCCTAAGGGGTACGCACACCACAGTTTGGGACCCCTTGGTTTAAGATACATGATAGAGAGGAGGGTCACAGCACAGAGCATTGCAGCGATTCAGACAGTGTTGCCCTGGGTGGCGGGTGTCATTTTAGTCGTCCCCTCAGAATTGTCTGCATTATGCTGGGAGGCTGCAAGTCTGGCTTAAAGCTGTCTTAGCCTCTCTCTCCGTGGGCTGCAATTTGAAGCACAGGATTTCATCCAAAGAACTATGGAAAATTTGAGGAAAGACTCGTTCTGCTGATAATTTTCACTGGGGAGTATTTTAATTACCAGCTAGAGGTTCTAAAATGCTGCTAGTCCCTGGCATTACTAAAGAACTAGATGGAAATATAAATGAAAGTAAGTGTTTACAGGGGCAGCTCTTTAGTAAGAGATGTCATTGTTTGAGCCATTGCTGCATTAAAAATATATCAGATGCAGACTGAGGTAGCCATGTGAACTAATTACCTGGCTAATGATATTATAAAAATGAATGGGAAGTTAATTATAGAGACAGCAAGTTGAATTCAAAAGGGTCTGAAATGTGACTTTGCCATGGAAAAGGGGCATATGAAAATGCATGTCTCTCTGGACTGAAAAATAATGACTTTAAGTAAGGAAATCTGAGAAACTGTTTGAGCTCATGCCAAACATTAAGTACTTGAGTAGCCTAACTGACTGCAATAGGATTAATTGCATGCCTGAAATTAGGCATGTGCTTAAGTACATTGCACTTACCTGGCTGAATCAGTGCCTTCAGGAGGA